GTTTTTTCCTTTTACAAGCTGTATATTCTCCGTGCAAGAAATATCACACATTAAGAAGATACTGTGTAGGAATCCTAAGATTTTGCAATGGATGGGTCCCATGTGTAATTAATGGAAGCAGATACGGTGCTATTTGAATGGACATTGCAGTGTCCTATCAAAAATTTTAAAACCGTTAGATACCCTTTCTCCCAGTACGAATTTCGAAGAAGACTTTATTTGCCACTAAATGAGTACAAAAGAGCATTGTTGTTCATGCATTCCAAAAACTATATTTGCGTTTGTAAGGACGTCGACAATAAGTGAGCATTAACAGGATTTAAATAGTCACTTTTTCCCGAGTATGTTTTTTGTAAGCGGCTGAGAAGTGCATTAAAAGCCGACATCCTGACGTGTTTGAAATGTTTAGGCACTTTGCTGCGCAGTAAGCAACAAAATCTCACTTAAGTGGATTTTTTCGTACCTAAGGCGCTCTTCAGAATTGCCTTTAGGATTTGAGATGGATCGAAGGCACGTCAATTTCTGTCAAAGACAATACGCATTGGGACGGAATTTTTTTAGGTTTCAATCAACTGCTGCTGTCACCGAGCAACACTTTAGACCGATCTGGTACTTTTAGACTTAACACATATAGTCGACAGATGAGGTCAAACCACGGCTCTAATAGTATCTCGGAAGTAGTCAGATCTTTTGTAGAGTGTATTGGACATTTATAACGGTAGAATAAGCTTGCCGCGATATAATGAAACCTAAAACCTCATGAGTTTAGACCTTTTATTCTGCCAGACCAAAGGAACATTTAGCACAGTAGTAAATAATTTGATCACTGTATTTCAGCTTATGCTTTCTTATTTCTCCTCAAATTAGGAAGCTTTCTCAATAATTGATGGATCTAAGGACGGAATAATTGACCAAAGTGATTTAGAAGAAGTTTTCCGTTCGATGGGGAAAAATCCATCTGAGGCGTATCTGGATGAGATGTTGAAACAAGCCCCCGGTTGCATCAACTTCACCATGTTCCTGACGCTGTTTGGCGAGAAGATGATGGGTTGTGATCCGGAGGACTCCATTTTGAACGCATTTGCATGCTTTGATCCGAACAACACCGGTTAGTCT